AAAAAAAAAAAAAGTGTGGCCATAATCACGTCCCCAAATATGACCGTTGATCTGGTTGTAATGCAGTGATCAAACCGTTAGATCAAGCGATGATTCTGTTGGCTCCTCAGAGACTAGTTCTTCCTCCGGAGACTAAATATAAAAAACAAATACGGTACACTATTGGAAGTGATGGGATGGGATGGGATGGGTGGACCACTATATTTTGTCTGAACTGAACGGGGTGCATGGTAACGGGACGGGACAGGACGGGACGGTGTTTTGTATTGTTGGTGTTTTCTGAGAATAAGGTTCCATTCCATCGCAAACAACACAACAAATTCATAAGCCTACACTGCTTTTGTCACCTCACTTCCTGTCATATCTCTCATCAAAGATTGTCTTGACATTCGTGTTGCAACTTCCTTTTCTCAAAAAAAAAAAAAAGAAATACAGTAATAATTAATAGAATCCTATGTATTTGAGTTTGAATTATTTTTGTTATATATTAAAAGTATAATATTGATTAAAATTAAAATTATTAAATTAATAACACTTGATCTTCTTAGACCTACTGGTATTAATTATATTAAAAAATGATGCATTCCCTTCTTTTCCTTAAATCTGAGTTTGATTCTACTTTTTGTAAACATATTTAAAAAAATTTATTAAATTAATATAATGAATAAATATGAAAAAAAAACTTATTAAATGTATTTTAATTATTTTAATATTAAGATTATTTTTAATATATAGTTTAACTTTAAATATATTTTTTATAATTAATTAAAAACTAAATTATCTATTTAATTAATTATAAAATAAAAATTATTAAATAAGTAGATAACATGCCACATTAAAGGACTTGCTCCTCCTCTAATATTTAAGTTATAAAATCTTATAGAATTTGAGCTATATGATTTTTTTTTCTTGGTTAAAAATTACTATGTTAAAATAAGAAGGGGGTTAAAGATTACCTCTCCTCTTGGTAACTGTCTATAAAGAAAAAGCTCCTCAACATTTTTTTTTTTTGGAAAATAAACATTTGACTCCTCAAATCAATCGGATTGGCCTTTCTGGCTAAATAATTTATTTTTAAAATTTAATATTTAAATTCATTTAATAAAAATTTTGATTCCTATTAACTCCTTAAAGATATCCTCTTTTCCCTAATGATTCCCATGTAAAAAAAAAAAAAAACAATTCCTCAAATCGATCATATTACCCTTTATTTAAAGGAAGGCATCACAATGACATCACAAGTCCGTCGGCTCCGTTAAGTTTTAAGTCAAATCATCATTTTGTCCATGAAAATAACAATGGCAAAACCTTCTTTAAGCCCCCAAACTTAACCCAAATTAATCCATGAGTTCTTGAACTAAAAATAATGCAAATAAGCCCTCAAACTCTTCAAATAATGCAAACTAACTAGTCCTCATACCTTTCAAAAGATGCAAATCAACTCTCATAATTTATGGCACAACACATGCCATATGTTCTTTTCCTTTGCTTGGTCTCACTTTTTCACATGGATGTTGATATAAATCAAGGTATTCTTTGGTGGTAAAAATCTTACTAAAATGGTTCATTTGAGTCTTTTCTTTTATTTAATGTTCTTAGACCACGTAAACAATTTTAGAGGGGTTTTTTTCCACCCAAGGAGTCTTTTAATCCATGCAAGTATTCATATGGAAAAGTGGGACCAAGTAAAGAAAAAGAAAAAGAATAGATGGCTTAAGATCACACGTATTGAGCTCTTAATGATGAGGGTTAATTTGCATTTTTCAAAGGACTTAAGGGCTAATTTGCATTGCTTGAGGGGTTTGAGAGCCTATTTACATTGTTTTTAATTTAAAAGCTCACATGTTAATTTGAAGTAAGTTTGGGGGCTTTATGAGCAAGTTTTGCCAATAATATTTAAACAAAAATAGAATGTGAATTTTTTAGGTGTGGATTATAACCATACAATTAATTATTAAGGTCATATAAGAAAAGTATAATTGTATTTAATTTAATTATTAAAAATAGTTGATAATTATAACTATTTACTGATATTTGATAAAATAAATGATTTTATTATTTAATAGTTCAAAATCAACCTATAAACTAATATATTTCCAACACCCCAAATAATTATAGACTAATAAAATTAAACAAAGCAAACACACTTATAATAATTTGTGTGGCCATAACTTTGGTGAGATTTTTCAATTCGCACTTATATAAAAAAGCACACGAATGCTATTGAGAAGACTTAAATATTATTAATAAATCAACACACAAAATTAATTAAGAGTAGTTAAATAATTTTATAAGTATTTCTATACTTTTTTTCTTGTTAGTCAACATGAAAAACATTTTCATGTAAACAAAAATATAAAAATGACACAAGAATATGCTCCTTTGGTTGTTATAAGTTATGGCTTTAGCTTGTGGACTTAACCCCTCTAACTGTTTGTTTTTGAAATTCTTAACCCTTCAATCTACATTTTATGTATTTTAGCTCATAACTTCACGTTATTGGCATTGTAATTGGCATAAAATATATGAAATCCCATCATATGAGTCACATGACCATCTTTATTATGGTACCTTCTTTTCATTAGTGTCATATTGATATAAATATAATCTACTTAAATCCATATAGGTAGAAAAATATCACTAAAAACACACATGGATCACATCTTGGGTGGGATTTTTTCTGCCTCCACAAGTCCAAATGAAGCATATTTATGTTAGCATGGTACTAATGAGGATAAAGTAATAGAGTAGAGATGATCACATGATCTATAAAATGAGATTCTATCTATTTTAAATAACTATAATCATAATGTGAAGTTTATGAGTTTAATTCACAAAATATATGTTGAAGGGCAAATAGTCTAAAAACAAAATGTTACAGGGTTCCGGGGGCTTATGCCTAGCTTGTGTCCATGAAAATAAAAAGAGAAAAGAAATGCAGAAATAAAGAAAAATACAAATAACTTGAGAAACTTTGCTTTACCACTAGAAAATAAAAACCCAATGAAGGCGTAAAAAAGTACTGACATGGAAGATATATTATTAACTGATGTACCAAGGAGGGTCCCTACCCTCCTTTGTCTGCATCCACGTTTGTTTCTGCCCTTCCCGGAGCCGTGCAGTACCTTAAAGCGATACCGAGCAACAAAAACAAAGCAATACATTAATAGCTGAAACAGAGAGGTGAAGAGACAAAAGGGCAAGTCGAAAGTCAGAGTATGAGTCCTTCCACTTCAAATCCCTTTTCTTTTTCCTTTTTCTTTTCAGTTCAGCAAAGAGAAAGAAAGAGAGAAAAAAGGGGTTTGCTTTTATTTTGTTCTTTCCTATCTTCCTTTGCTCTTCTGCTGCTGCTGCTGCTGCTGCTGCCGCTGCTGCTGCCGCATGCATTATTCGTTGGGGTACGCTGGCTGGCTGCCACTGACTGGTACTCGCAGTAGCTAATTAACCCCACACACACACTGCCCCTTGATCCCATTCCCTCATGCTGATGTGTGCATGGCAATTGGCAATACGCTGACACACACATACGCAAATTGAAATGCTTTTGTAATCTGATTCTGTTTACACTCCCAATACTGCCTTTTTCTTTATTTTGATTCCGTATGTTCCATCCCTTTTGCTTTGTTTTCTCATATGTACACTTTGATAGTGAGTAATGAGTGGTATGTAGTAAAGGAAATCTGCGCTGATGAATAGTGCATTCATTTATTTGTCTTTTCTCCACCAACCATTTTTTTTCTTTTGATTCATTACACTGAACTGATTGACGTTCAACATCAACTGATTTAAGTCTTAATGCATGGTAGGGTTGTATCATTGCATGCATGTTTTTTTTTTTTTTTTTTAACGGAGAGAATATAAGAGGGGAATAGAGGGCTGCACACTGTAGTTTTGAATTCTGACCGAAACCATGAGTTTAAATGCACCCGAACAAAGCAGCTGAAGCTGCAGATGCCATTGCATGCATGTTTATTAGTTCAATTTTAAAAAGATTTATAATTTGAGTATAAAAATTGAATGGTTAAATGCTAAATTTAGTCCCTCAACTTTATGAAATGTACATTTTTGGTCCCTCAACAATTTTTTACACTTTTTTGATCCTTTAACTTTAAAAATTGCACAGTTTTGGTCCTTCCGTTAGTTAAGTGTGATGTGGCAGTTAAATAATTTCACGTTGCATTATCTTTTAATTTTTTTGATGATGTGGCAATAATATATATTATAATTATATTATATAAATAAATAAAAATGCCACATAATTTAATAATTATATTTTAATTAAAAACAAATACAATTACCTTATTACCCTCATCCTCCCAAACCCTCTTCTTCCCCTTCCTTCTTTCTTTCTCTTTCTTTCTTTCCTATGAACCCAGCAAACGAAACCCAACCTTCCTCACCTTCCCAATCCCTCTTCTTCCCCTTCTTTCTTTCTCTTTCTTTCTTTCCCACCCTAGGTCAGTGGAAAGTTGGGTTCATCGGAACTTAGCAGATGAAACCCAGCAAGGCTGGGTTTCGACGAACGCCAACTGTTGGGTTTCAACGAACCCCAGCTGCTGGGTTCGGTTGAAACCCAGCAAAGCTGGATTCGATTGAAACCTAGCAGATATGGGTTTCGAGAACCTAACCTGCTTAGCCAATTCCATGCATCTAACCAAAAAATCCTTTCTTCTTCCAATTTTTTAATCTTCCCATTCATTACACGTGAGCCCTTCATCTCCTAATTCTTTCCATTCTACCCACGAAGAATCTATAATCACTCGCAAATCTAGTTCGGGTAATTGTTCTCGGATCGTCGATTTACAATTTGATTGCATTTTTTATTCGAATTTGATTAGAGTTTGATTGTATTTTTGTTGAAATTTGATTAGAGTTTGATTGATATTATTTATTGAAATGTTAATTTGATTTGATAACATCTGCTAGGTTTGAGGCTACAATGAAACCCAATAGCTGGGTTCAATGACAGAGAATTTCAAATTCTCTGGTTCATAGATATATTATTTTGTAAGGACTCACCCACTAGCAGTAGAGGCAACCCAACTCGAGTTAGATTGATTTTGCAGAGAGAGATTGATTTTGCAGAAAATGAAGGTAAGAGACCATTCTAGGGTTCACAGATCTTATTGGTGGTTTGCAAGCAACGTGAAAGCCATTGAAGGGTCTTTGGTGCAAGAAAAAAATGACATGTCATAAAAAAAAATCCATATCAACACATTTTAAAGTTGTCCTTGCCATGTCATCAAAAAAAAAATAAAAAATGCCACATGGCCGAGTTAACAGCTCAAATTGACAGAAGGACAAACGTTGTGCATTTTTTAGAGTTGAGAGATCAAAAAAGTGCAAAAAATTGTTGAGGGATCAAAAATGTGCAACTCATTAAAGTTGAGGGACCAAATTTAGCATTTAACCAAATTGAATCAAATGTAGTTTTAAAAAATGTAAAATTTTTTTAATTAAAAAATTAGAGATTGAAACTATTAACCTCTTACTTTTGGTTTTAGAGTATGAAAACTTTCTAAATTTGATAATTTTTTATTAATTTTTACGTTTTTGTTATGAATTTATAATTTAAAATTTTTGCAAAAGCTCTGCCCTCATAGAACTTTTACACAAGTTAGAAGCTTTTGTGAAGTGGGTTTTTGGGGTTTCACTTGTGTTCCTACATTTTATCCTTTTTGTCTCGTGACTTGCAAAGAACTGATCCTCGTAGTTGATAATTCACTAATAAAATTTTTGCAGAAGACAAAATATGTTGACTTTCCTCAAGCACCCAAAAGAGATGTCACTACTTGGGATTTATTTCGATTCCCACCCAATAAGAACGATAAACTATAGAGATTCAAGCTCCTGTTTTTCCCAAGCTGGAATTTTGAACCACCATAGACATTGAGAAGAAAATCTTGACGGTTATTTTGTTTCTAAACAAGAGAAGTCATTCTAGTCTACTAACCACCCTAAAGAAACAATTTGAATGATCCAGTTAACCTACTAACTAAACATATGAATTCATTCTTGGAAAAGCATAACTACAACTTTTAGTCATCGGAACTTAAGGACGTAATTGATTAGGCTTGAAATATACTGCATTTCACTCTATGAGGAATGCAACTGTTCAGGTCATGTAATCAAGAATTTCATGACGAGTATAGGAAAGGTTAGCAATAAAACATCAACTTCCTAACATTCTCACTGAGTTTGGGTAAAGGTGTAGCCTTTGGAGGGGCTGCTCGAGACATTGTAGAAGAACGTCTTGTAAAAGCAGCAGATTCAGATCGATCAAGATAAAGCCTCCCTCTATATGCAGCCAGGTGAGCATAGTAAGCCGGAGGCACCAAAGAAACAGGCTTAGTGCACCTTACAAATGTGTAGCACAGATTGTAAACCAACTTCTGTAGTTCATCAGAGGTGAATTGATTCTCATCCCACAAGACGTGGTAATGTGTTGGGCGGCTAGTTCCCTTCACCCCCCAATGACTACAGAGATAAAAATCAAATTCCCTCGGATGAGTTATCACTGTGTCCACAACAGTTCCCGGGGGAATATTTTCATCAAAGAGTTGGTTCACCTTGGAATAATGATGGGTATCATATTGAAACAATCTAGTGTGATGTCTCTTCTGGACCACTGCAAAGGTAATGGGAGGGTTATAACCAGGAAATCTTCCACAAGCTTCCCTGATTGCTTGCAATTCCTCTTTAAGCACCTTGAAGAACTGAGTTTCACTTACACCATCTCTAAAGAAGATTATCCTCTTGGGCAGTTTGTTTACTTCTTCGTAGAACTCATCTAGCAATTCCCATACCATTGCACCAAGATCCTGGATGATCTCTTGTCTGTGTGTTTGTGATCTCATTCTTGATACATACCTGTTTGCTGCAGGCCAGTTCATGCTACCAACAACAGCAGCAACAGATGGGCTGAAATCATCAAGAGGATGAGGATGAGTCACATCAGCACCCATAAAGATAACAGGGTCATCAGGCCAGAAGAGCCGTGGGATCTGAGCAGGCAACGAATTGTACAGAGCAACTGTGCAACCTCCAACTTTGGCATTTATCTTTAAGGCTAGATTGGCCAGAAACTGTGAACTCAACTTCCCAAGGTTTGGATACAAGCAGCACTGACTCACAACTCCAACACATGTCTCAGCTATGCGCTTCAAGTCAGCATATCCTCTGTGCTTCCTCTCCATTACACATATGAGCAGCTGGAGATTGTTAGAGGCAGATCTATGAATTTTCTTCAGTTTAGCCTCTAAAAGAGAGACATTGTTAAGCACTTGGGTCGGTTCAAATTGCGGCCTAACAATTGTGTTCTTGTTGAGAAAGATGCCCAGCTGCTCACACCTCTGAGATAAGTGGTTTATGAATTTAGGAATGTTAGACTTTTGATCAGCTGTCCCCCCGAAACTTATTAGAGCCCACCTTTCAATTCGTGTTGCCTCAAAGACATGGCTGTCAAGAAGATTCCATTGCCGATCATGGCGAGAAGGAATTAGATCTCTAACATTTCCACCATCACCAAGCTTAAGCTTGGGGGGTTGAAGAATTCTCCCTTTCAGCCGTGTCATCTCTCTTGAAACATGAAGCCTGAACTCTCCTGCTAGATTGCCGCTGTCAAGACAAAAGGTAAATGCTTAAAAGCATTAAAAGCAGGAACTTATATAATAAGAATCATACTAGCAATCAATTTTCAAAAGAATCCAGTGAATCCCCTTAAAAGTACTTCTGAAATTACCTTGCTGGCCCAACAGGTCCTCTCATGACTCCATCTATGATTGCTTTTCGATCTTTTGGTCTTTGGCAACCCATCTTAAGAATCCTTGCTGTCTGATCATCTGAAAGCTTCCCAAGAAATTTTTGGCCTTCACAAATCATACAAAGCTCCATAGGAAGATAGCATGGCTTGCTCCTGCTGATCTGCAAACATGGCAAATTACAGAATTCTATTTCATAGTTATAGTGATCCCTGAAGTAAGTTAGGAGCCTCAAATTCTTTCCATCTCTATCCATGAACCATATATTTTCAGTAGCTTCCTCAGTTAAGCCACAAACTTTGTATCTTTGAACAGTTTCTCTGTGACAAACAAAGACTCTTATATTCTTTAGTGCCTTCTCCACCTCTCTTCTTTCTTCACCACTTAAACTCCTTGTCTTTCTCTGTGGAAGGTCCTGAAGAAACTCAAGACGTTTTTGCAAGTAGGGGATCACCCCAATGCTCTCGTGGAAGGCAGTGACAGAAAAATCCAAATTGAGAGCTAATCCCTGTTGGGTTGGCCGAAGACTCTGAAAAAAACCTCTCAATCCAACAGCTCCTCCCCCAATTTCTTTAGCACCTCCCATCGAACACGAATAGAATGACCTCCCTACAGGTACACATTTCTCTGTTGGACTCTCCCTAAGAACAACATCTAAAGCATGAAGATAGTCCTGAGGAAGTGGTATCCAATCATCGCCTTCCTTGCTCAAGTAACTATTCAAATCATTTCCATCAATCTTTGAAACAAGTTTGACATTAACTCTAAATAGTTTAAGCTGATTATGCTTCCCTTGCAAGCCATTCAGTTCCCCAAAAAGCAAAGTTGACTTGCTGGAGGGGATGGGGAGGCTGACAAAGAATTCCAGCCTATCATTTTGGAATTCAACTGGGCTGTAGAGATTCTTTCTGCCATCATAAGCTGGATTAGCACCAGAAAGCACATCTGAGTTGTTCTCCACCAGTTTTTGTTTAATCATATGGGCAACCTCCTTTGAGGGGTTAGGGGAAATTTCAACATCATAGTGGTAAATTCGCTGTGAGGGATCAAATTGTACTGGAAAATGGTTGGCAAGGAGAGAAATAACCTGCCCTTCAACACCGCCGGAATCTGGTCTCCTTGCAGCCACAAGTGCTTGTGTTGTGGTACTCATGGTCTTCCTTCCATTACTTCCTTTTACAGGTGAACTTTTTGGTGGTTGTAGCCCTTCTAGAGCATCTTACACGTGTAGAAATAGAAGTAACAAGAATCAAATTCATCTCCTTAAATATGAATTCATCATCAAAATGAACTGAAAATGAATAAATACTTGAAAATATTATTAATCAAAATGCTGATACAGGATTCATATATTATAATTACCAAGATAAATCATTTATAGCAATAAGATTCCAACAATATCTGAAAGCTTGAAAGTTATGCATTCAGATTGTCAAGTTTTTGAATAAAACCAGGAATATAAGACAGATTCTCTCTTAATCTCGTACGTTATTTAAATAGATTCACTTTAATCATTAAACAGAATATATGGATTCCCATAATTAAAAACAAAAGAGACAGATGAAATATGAAATAGAAATAGAAAAGGAGCAAATTTAAAGAAGTGGGTTTGGATATATCAAGTCACCTGTTGAAATCGCTACAACCGGCACCTGTGTATCAGAAGAGGTGGCAAGAGGAGGATCATTCACCTTACAAAATGGTTTCTGCAGATGGGTTTTTGATCTAAACCACTGGTTTTGAGGAAATGATGGTGCTAAAGCCAGTTGCAGAGGTATCGGAGGAGGCAAGGGAAGCAGAGCTGCTGGGTAGTAAGAGTAAGACTGGTTCTGGTTAAACAACCCAAAATGGCTCGAGTACTGCAACAACTGGTGCTCATAAAAACCCTTATGAGGGTTTGTTCTGCCCCTAAAAGTCCCAGATTTTCCAGTACATTTCTTATTTGCATGTGGCTCTTTTGTTTCCTCCATTGCTGGATTGAGAAAGAAGCAAGGATGAAACAGATACAAGGCTTATGAGCATGAGAGAATAAAGAGAAGTCTTTTTTATGCAGAAAAGAAACCGTAGTTATTGTAGAGAGAGGAGAGAAGGAGACTGGGTTTAAGTTTCTGAGCTTCTTTCTGTCCTCTTCTGATTCTTTCTGGTGAAATGCAAAGGGGAAAGGGGCAGCCAGGCTTTTGCCTTGGAGAAACTAGAAAGTGTTAAAAAATATATATATATAAAATAAAAAATGAAAAAGGGTGCCACAACAAATTAGGGGATACCCTTTAATGATCAATTTGACTATCTGTCAAAAAAAATAAGGCTATTTTAGCCTTTTCTTCTCCTTTCAATTTTTTTTGCTTTTTCTTGAATTCCTATTGAAGTCAAATGGGGTGGGAAGCATAAAAAGTTACCGCTATTAATATGAAATTAGAAGCAAAGGCGAAAGTTCTTAGACTTTTGTTGGTCAAACTACTCAATTCTGGTTCTGTGTTTGATTTTTCTGTGTTTGATTTGATTATGGTATTAATGACGGTTGCATTTGTTAATTGTGGTCATCATTAGAATAAGCTTCTTTCATATTCATGCATAAAGTTCATGGTATTGTGAATCTGTTGGATTATAGGGGGACCAGTGCGCAGACCAAATAAAATACTACTGCAACTACATTGGCAATGGGAAACGAGAAAAAAATTGTTTAGTTTTAGCCAAATATGATTTAATGTCTTTGAAACTTTTGAGGTAAATCGTTTACGTGTAGTCTAGCTTAATGAGAAAAGAGAAAATATTTAGGTTTAAGGTTAATAAGGAAATAATTTTCTTTTAAATGAAAGTAAAAGAATTTAAGTTTAAGTCAGAAGTACATGACATGAGTAAGGTTATAAGGTGAGTAGCTACCTAAGAGAGGGTTGTTCCGACCAAAAAAAGTAAATATTAGCTTCTATTTAAAGAAAAAAATCTCTTTGGTGGCTAGGGTTCTAGACAATGTGAGAGTTCAACCCTTCTATTTTTAATGGTGTGTTTGGTGATAGAGGGAAGTTTATTTTCATGGTTCCCAATGCTCAACAACGAGGTTGCAGGTAGTGGCATTGGGGGTTTTGATTTTATTAATGGGAGGCATAACTCTTGATGGTATCTAGTGCTTGGTGGCAATTGAAGGAAGTGACTTTGGTGGTGACTGGTGTGGGTGATTAGGGCTTTTGGTTAGGTTTGTTGTTGGGTTTTTTCCTTGGTTAGGCGCATGGCGATTGTGCTTAGGTATTGGTTTGCTATTACGGTGTAGTGTCATGTAGTAGTGGTGGCTATGGATTTAGATTGTTAATGAGGGGATGATGGTTTGTAACAAAGACACAAATATAATTAGAGGAATATTGAAGGGTGTAGTTTGGTACCATTGTCACTTGGGAAGGTTGAGATTATAGTTTGTTTTTTGGTTGAGGTTAATTGGGATATTGTGTGAGGTTTTTATGTAGAGGTGGCTTGAGCATAGGAGGGGGTTGTGGTTCTTTGGATGTGTTGGAGAATGAATGTGAGTTTTGTAAGGTTTATAGGCACCTTAGGGGTTGATCTTCATTATGAAGGGCTATCTCAATGTAGTTGATTCTTTGTAGAAATATAGAGATGTTAAAACATGAAAGATGCTTTTGTTAAGGTTCAAGGATCATATCGTGGCAAAATAAAGAGACTTGATTCAGGATGTTTGTTTGAAGTTCCTTTTTTTTGTGAGGAGGTTTTTATTACTGTTCAAAAATGATGGATTAATTCTTATCATATTAAGCTACCATGTTATGGCAATGTAACTAGTGTTTGAAAGGCAGGTATCATAGTTAGGTTTTCCCTTATATTAGTTCTACTATCAATTTCTAGTTTGTTCTATTTTTAAGTTTGTACTTTAAAAGACTTATTTATTATAACAAATACGAATGATATATTGTTAGGGCACCTTCCTTTGGGGTAAAACTATATTGTACTAGCTTTATCTCTATAATGAAATACAAAATCAATGATCACTTTTTTTGAAAAAAAAAAAACATTAGATTTCGTTTAGGAGTATTGCACAGAGCACTTTTTCTTAGGTCACATTATTTAAAATATAAATTTATCATAAATAATTTATAATTAATGTTTTATATATTTTTAGTACTTTTAATTAATATTTTATATATCTTTCATAAAAGATAAAAAGTTAACACAACACTTCGAAACAAAGCATTGAAAGTGTTGCACATAGCACCTTTTCTCATATCACTTTGACTAAAAATATAAGTCTATTATAAATAATAATTTTTAATTATGTTTTATATATCTTTAGTAATTTTAAGCACCTTTTCTCATATCACTTTGACTAAAAATATAAGTCTATTATAATTAATAATTTTTAATTATGTTTTATATATCTTTAGTAATTTTAATTAATATTTTATATATTTTTATGACAAGAAAAGACAAAAAAATTTATTATCACAATACAATATAACACAACATTCTTACAACACTCTTAAACAAAACTTAAACATTTTATGTTGAGAGGAATGAGGGGAAACGGGAGGGGAGGGGAGAGGAAGCATATTCTTCCATTTCCCAAAAATGGATAAATAATTAAATTAAAAACAAATAAAGTAAATATAAAACTTTCCGTTCTTCCCCTCCATTTTTTTTTTTATAATCAAATAGAAATTTTGTTTTTCATTCTCCTCCCCTCGCCTCCTCTCCCTTCCCCTCAATCCAAACATATTGTAAAAATAAGAAATTATAACAAAGAACAAAAAAAAAAAAAAAGCACAAAAGTAAAGGTGAGCTAATTTTAGACAATATTGAATTATTTCCATTTCAATTTGAACTTATGAATTTGAGTATTTAGATAAATTTGGCTATAATTAAAGTGTATAAAAAGTAAATTTGGTTATCAACAATTTAAATAATTCAGTGATAATCTCTTTCTGTTAGAAGTAAGAGATTCTGAATTTAAGTTGAATGACATGTGAATGAGGTGAGTTAAGGGATTAGAGAAGGTTACCTCCATTGTACAACCCAAAATAAAAATAAATAAATTTAGTTCAGACACAGTTACTAGCCTATTTATAAAATTACCAAAAAGTGCTAACTATTTTTAGAAAATTATTCGAACAATTTTTATTAAAAGGAAATAATCTAAATAAACTACTTACTTCCTCTAATTGGATTTAGTTTTTCCAATTTTTAAATAAGGGTGGTCTATTTAATTGTCATACTTTTCATTTTACAAGAATATTTAATACTAATATTTTAATTTTACCCTTATCGTCAAAGAGATAGAAATGCATTAGGCTTTTTTTATTTAATTATAAGTAAGGGTAAAAATAGAAAGATAAGTCCTAATTATTGTAATAAATAAATTTGTTGGTAATTATAAATAAATAAAGTGCAACAACTAAATCTAATAAGGAGTATTAATTGAAACCATAAAAAATAATTCATATAAATTTTAGTTATTTTTGTTATTTAATTGAATTATCTAAAATAATTCCAATAACTAAATTTGTAACCAAACTACAAGTTTTGCTAGGGTTTGGTATATAAGTGTTAACTAGGGGTGTTCGTAGTATAGATTGGATTTGATTTTAATACTTTTACAACTAAACTAATTTATAAGTCAGTAAAATTTTTAAAATAATCCAATTTACTATTATATTATAAATAAATTAACTAATTTAATTTATCAAATCAGTGTAGTTGGGTCAGATTGATTAGTTTTTTGATATTATTTTAAATAGATTTGATTAGGTGAAAAATCAAAGTATTAAACCATAAAAAACATAATTATAAAGCATAATAACATCGTAGAAAACAAAATGATAGTACCAACAGTAGATTAAGGTAAGAATTAAGAAGAAAACAAAAAAAAAAAGAAAAAAAAAAGAGGTAAGAACTAATAAAACAATCAAGGCAAGTGTCAGCCTACACTATGTATCTAAAAAAAGTAAAGAGTTCTTAGAGTAAAACTTTTGTTTGTATAATGAACGATTTAGGGTTGCATTATTTTTTTAATTAAGTTACATTGTATAATTATAGTGCAAAAATAAAATAAAGAGTGATAGTCAATATAATTAATATTATATTAAACTCATAAAAAATATTATACTAAATAAATAAAAAAGTAAAATAAGAAAAGAAAATTTAAAATACAATTTGTATACGAGAATAAAAATTTTAAAATAATTATATTTTTATTTTACCAAAAAAATTCTAAAAATATATTTACCAAAAAATACAAAAGTAAAAAAATATTATATTATTTAATTAAATTATATTGTAAGCAAACAATTCACTCGGTTGGAGACAAAAAACTACAAACTAAATTATTATATTAATTTTAAAATTTTATAATTCAAAGTAACTCAAATTAATGTTGGTTTAATTAGATTTTAATCATATTAGATTTATTTTGATTGAATTAATCAGTTTAAATTAAGTATAAACAACCCTAGTGTCAACCAAAGTTTCTTTTCAGTTATTCAAAGTTGCTTTTCAATTCTTATAATCTTATGTGAATCTTATGTGAAAGTTCACCAAAAAAACAATCTTAATTTTTTTTTTTTTTTTATTCTTATGTTACATAATAAGAAGTAATTTTCTCTTAACCCTTAACCTATTCCATTTATGATTTGAATTCAAAATCTTTTACTTTCATTAAAAAAAATTACCACAAAATACTTAGAAAATTAACAACAATCATACCCTTTAGCGATAAACTGAGTGTGGCATGAAAACTCACCTGTTTTGAAAGGTCAGAGTCATGGACAGAAAAGTGTCGACACCATCATAGCACAAAAGTGTTGGTACTAAGCTTTTGCTGCTAACCCATCATCCGTGCTGACGAAGTGCGCTTACCAGATGCTGTTCCTGCACCATGAGGGTGTCTAGCACTAATGGCACTAATAAAACCCTCTTTTAATGGTGTAAACTTTTAGACTTTGATATGATTTAACCCTAGAATCATAGCCATTTAAGGAATATCAAACAACGCAAAAAAAGGAAAGTAAAACATTCCATATCAAGAAGATTCTAGTAAAGAAAAAAAAAAAAGATACCGATATCTTTGTTTCGTTTTTTAAATGGTGCCTATTTTTATTTATTTAAATATAAATATTTTATGAGAAACCTGTTTGTCAATTGCAATTAAA